TCTCGCACGAGGCCAAAGAAACCCCTCAGATGTTCCCATGACGCCCCCGGGGAAGCCCCCAGGAGGCCCCAAGAGAGCCCCAAGAGGCTCTCATCCTTCTGGAGTTGCCATCGCCTCCTCCCGCTCTCTGCTCCCCACCCCTGCACGATCGATCAGCTCGTCCACCTGGCGCAGCTCCGGCTGCTGCTTTCAGGATGGGCGTCGGACTTCCCACACAGAGTGTCGTTCCCAGAGATCCGACGTCGTGATTGTTTCACAGCGGGGTCCCTGGAAGTCTCGACCCCTTCCCCCGGACCAGTTTTGCATCCCGAGTCGTCTTCTGGACGCTCCCGAGGCCTGGTGAGGGCCCCTGGAGGCCGAAAACTGTGAAAAACCTCCGCCACGGTTTTTTCCCTTCCCAGGAGAGGTCTGGACCCCCCCCTGGCCTGCGAGGCGCTGGTCGAGGGCGGCCCAGAGCCGGACCGCCCACGGAATCCTCTGGCCGTCCTCCCGGGCCCGCCGCTCGCCCCGAGCGGGCTGTCGACGGCCCCCGGGGCCCGGCGAGGGGAGCGCGGTGGACGTCAGGGCGTTGCGCGTAACTCTATCGGCTACTTGTTTGATTCGCAGGTCGAGAGCGCACCTATTCCGGTCGAAGCTAAGCGGGCCGCGCACAGCGTGAATTAACAAAGAGGAGAGGCCAGAAGGAGAGGCCTCACGTCAAGGCCAGGAGGAGGCACTCTATCGACTACGCGTAAGAGTGGCCTTTCGCCGGAGTGACCTTTGGTGCGGGCTCACAGGGGTGGCCCCGGCACTGGCCCGCGCGCTTGGATTTGGGCCCTTCGAGGTCCCCCCAAACCCGCACACCAAAGGTCACTCTTGCCTAGGGTCACTCTTTTACGTGTAATCGACTCTAGGCCTCCCAGATGGGGTCCGAGTTGACGGGGTCGGAGGATCGCGCCGCACCGCCGATGCATCGGCGACACGGTTCGATGTAGAGCTCGATTTTCTCCACGCCGACGTCGGCGCCGATGCATCGCCGACGTCGGCGATGCATCGCCGATGTATTGGCGATGCGGCGCAATTCTCCGACCCCATCTGCTCGGACCCCATCTGGGAGGCCCCTGGTGATGGGGTGGGCGATCAATGAGGGGGGGGGGAGGAGAAATGCGCACCCCTTTTGCACCCTGACTCGAGGGGCCCTGGCCCAACCCTGCTCGCGTCGTGAAGAGAGCATGGCGAGAGGTGCTTCGTCGTCGTCGGCCTCTTTGGGGCCTTCCCCGGGCCCCGGGACAGTCAGAAGACGACTCTGGATAAAAGACCGGTCCCAGGGAAGAGGTCGGGACTTCTGGGAGAGGGCCCATGTCGGGAAAGAGCCAGGGCGTCGCATGTATGGAAAGGGCCCCTCTGAGGCCCAGAGGGGGCACGACAGGTGCACGCGTCTTCGCCCCCAGCCCCCGTGTATCCCTCCCAGGAAGCAACGCCCAAGACGTGTGCAGATCACCCGCCTCCAAAGTCTCCTCCCCTGAGATCCCGACGCCACGAAGAAGCTGCAGAATCGTGCAAAACCGCGACCAGAGCCCCAGACCCTGTTTTCCTGCAGCATGTTCCCTTAGGGCTTGTCGACTTTTCGCCAATCGACTTGTGAGAATCGAGCCAGATAAACCCAGGTAAATGCAGATAAATCCAGGTAAATCCAGGTAAATCTAGATAAATCTGGGTAAATCCAGGTAAATCCAGAGATCTCCAGGGAAAGTTCGAGCACTTCGCGGCCGCTCCAGCGCGAGTCGAAGGACGGCAGAAGTCGTTAAGCCTTTAACGACATGTTTCGAGCCGGACCGATCTGTGACGGTGCCGGGGCCTGAAGCCGAACGAAAACGGCCAGCAGCCTCCCATCGCGCGGTTTTGCTTCACGAAGCGAGCATGCTTGCTGGGATCGGCGCGGGGGCTGCTACGGGGATAGGGGGGCTATCACTGGATGGCAAGGTGGGTAATATCTGGCCTGACCTAGCTTGTAACTGGGTGTCAAGTGCCCCAAGTGGCTAAGGGTAGTTACTGGAATAAGTGGGCTCTGCCAACTTAGCGGAGTCATCTGGCCCCCCCAGCCACTCGGGGCATTTGTACCCCGCGCGTAGGCTAGGTTTGGCCAGATATAACCCACCCTGGCATACACTCATACAGTAGGGGCGCGCATCAGGAAACCACATGCTTTCGCTCCGCGCGCGCCGCGGTAACTTCCCGCAGCCGTTGAAGAAGCTGCTGCGTTCAGGGTGCTCCGGGTTTCCCCTCAGGTGCACCTTGCGCCCGGGTTTTCAGGGTTGGGTTTCTTGCGAGGGTTTCTTGCGGCCGCGTCCGCATTGTAACCTCCTTTTCCCCTCAGCAGCCCCCGCGCCGACCTCAGTGGGCTGTGGATGCTCACTGCTTCTTGGCCCCCCGAAGGCTGGGCCCGCGCCCTCGGAGGCCCCGGCGCCGGCGGCGCTCACGGCGGCAGCGCCCGAGGCCGTCGCGCCGGACATCGGGGCAGGCCCTGCCGAGCAGCCAGCTGAAAGCCGGGAACACCACCACCACGACGACGAAACCCACGACGAGCACGTGGACCACTCCCATCACGACGAGCACTGCCACCACCACCACGACGACGCCCACGACGACGACAGTTACGACCACGACCACAACGGCCCCGGCCCCGGCCACGACGACGGCGGCGGCGACGACGACCACGGCAACGACGACCGCCAACCCGACGGCGACCATCACGCGGCGCGCGCGGACGGAGGCCAGGCAGGCCTCGAGTCGGACGAGAGGAGGAGAACGGTTCGAGGTCCCAGGTTTTGGGGTGTTTTCGTGGGTCCTCGGCGGTTTTCCAGCTTCGGGGCCTCGCCCAGAGCGTTCCGGGGATGCCCAGATCGTCCCAAATGGTCGCTTCAGACCCGAGGTATGACGCGAAACCACTGAGATGAATGTTGGGTTCGTGAAGTAGTTCGGGCGGTTGTAAGCGGGTCCTATAGTGGTTAGCCCACTTCCACTAACCAGGTTAGGGAAGGGTTGGGCGAACTGGTTTGGAAGTGGTTCGTAAGTAGTTCTGAACCCACTTAGCCTAAGCAGGCTAACCTACTTAGGGGGCTTCCCCCTAAGTCCACTAAGTGGGTTACGAAGTCCAGCGTACGCCTCAGTCTGAGTAGGAAGGGAGGAGGAGGAGGTTGAGGAGGCCCAGAGAAAGGAGGATGTAGCGCTGAAATACTGACACATCGTTGATCTTGTTCCAGGATCCTTCAGAGAAAACCTTTTGATCCTGCAGCGCCCCACGCCACATCAAGCAACACGCATCGAAAATTCAAGTAACGCCCAGTTCTGAAGAGGCACGTGCCTTCCAACATCCTTCTCCTCGATTTCCTCCTCCTACTGCTCCTCATCCTCCTCCCTATCCTTCCTTACGCACCTGTCCCCTCAGTCAAGTACGCCTAGAGTGCCTGAGACGCAATTTCGGCGGGAAGAGAACTTCAGAAATCTGCCCCTCATCTGAAATCTCAGTGCAGCCGTTAGCTGCAACAGTTGTCTGGGAGAGCCACAGACCGAACGCGCGGTCGTCAGCCACAGCGTGTCGGCCCCTCCCCCTCCTGGAGGCCGGCAGGCGGACACCCATACTGCTCTTCACTCCTATCAGCGTCTCTGGGGCAGCACCGCGGTGGAGGCCCGAAAGGCGCTCGAGAGCGCGCCCCCTCCTGGAGGCAGTATCATGGCGACAGTTAGGAGCGCTGCTGAAGGCGCGCTTGCGCTCGGATGCGTCCCTCACAAAATTGAGATTCAGGAGTTCGTGTCGGAAGGTGCAGCCGTTAGCTGCAACAGTCGTCTGGGAGAGCCACAGCCCGGACGCGTGGTCGTCCGCCGCAGCGTGTCGTTCCCCCCCCCTCGTGGAGACCGGCAGGCAGACACCCATACTGGTCAGCCTCACTCCTATCAGCGTCCCTGGGACACCATCGCGGTGGAGGCCGGGGAGGCGCTCGAGAGCGCTCCCCCTCCTGGAGGCAGTATCGTGGCGACAGGTGGAAGCGCTGCAGAGGGCGCGCCCGCGCTCGGAGACGTCCTTCGCAAAATAGAGACTCAGGAGCTCGAGTCGGAAAGCGCAGCCGTTAGCTGCAACAGTCGTCTGGGAGAGCCGGCGTGCGGACACCCATTTCCTCACTCCTATCAGCGTCCCTGGGGGCATCGCGGTGGAGGCCGGAAACGCGCTCGAGAGCGCGCACCTTCCTGGAGACAGTATCGTGGCGACAGTTGGGGGCGCTGCAGGGGGCGCGCCCGCGCTCGGAGACGCCCCTCACAAAATAGAGTCTCAGGAGCTTGTGTCGGAAAGTGCAGCCGTTTGCTGCAACAGTCGTCTGGGAGAGCCACAGACCGAACGCGTGGTCGTCAGCCACAGCAGGTTGGCCCCTCCCCCGCCTGGAGACCGGCAGGCGGACACCCATACTGGTCCTCACCCCGATCAGCGCCCCTGGGGTAGCATCGCGGTGGTGGCCGGAAGGAGAGCGCGCCCCGTCCTGGAAACAGCATCGTGGCGACAGTTGGGAGCGCTGCAGGGGACGCGCCCGCGTTCGGAGACGTCCCTCACAGAATAGAGACTCAGGATTTCGTGTTGGAAGGTGCAGCCGTTAGCTGCAACAGTCGTCTGGGAGAGCCACAGACCGAACACGTGGTCGTCAGCCACAGGGGGTCGGCCCCTCCCCCTCCTGGAGGCCGGCAGGCGGACACCCATACTGCTCCTCACTCCGATCAGCGTCCTTGGGACAGCATCGCGGCGGTGGCCAGAAAGGCGCTCGAGAGCGCGCCCCCTCCTGGAGACAGTAGCGTGGCGACAGTTGGGAGCGCTGCAGGGGGCGCGCCCGCGCTCGGAGACGTCCCTCACAAAATAGAGTCTCAGGAGCTTGTGTCGGAAAGTACAGCCGTTAGCTGCAACAGTCCCCTGGGAGAGCCATAAACCGGACGCGTTGTCAGCCACAGCGTGTCGTTCCCCCCCCTCCTGGAGACCGGCAGGCGGTCACCCATACTGCTCCTCACTCCTATCAGCATCCCTGGGGGCACCGCGGCGGAGGCCGAAAATGCGCTCGAAAGCGTGCCCCCTCCTGGAGACAGTATCGTGGCGACAATAGGGAGCGCTGCAGAGGGCGCGCCCGCGCTCTGAGACGCCCGTCACAAATAGAGTCTCAGGACGTTGCGTCGGAAATGCAGCCGCTAGCTGCAAGAATCCCCTGGGAGAGCCACAGACCGAACGCGCGGTCGTCTGCCGCAGCGTGTCGTTCCCTCGCCAGGAGCGTTCCGGAGGTGCCTGGATCGTCCCGGTCGGCCCCTAGGGGGCCGTCATCGTGGCGCCTCGCGTTTCTTCCCCAGCCAGTTCCTGAGCGACGCGTCCACGCGCCAGGTTTTCCTCTGCCGACCGGTTTCTGTCACAGCACAGCGCCTGGCTCGCCCCTCGCCCTCGAGGGTCAGGCTCCACGGCGCTGTCAAACACTTGGCACGATACCCTTGCTGGGGCGGGCACAACGTGTCGTCACGCGGCTTTGCCGTTGTTGTAGTTATGTTCACCCTGGCCTTCCCCGCACCTGGCCGCAGCTTGACCCGGTTTCCCTCGTCAGCGGGCCTCGTGATGGCCGGTGGTGGTCCCGATAGCGCGCTTTGCTTTGCCCCCCCGCCCTTGGGGATCAGGCTCGTCGGCGCCGCCAATACCTGGCACGATGCCCCTTGTTGGGGCGGGGCGCAGCGTGCCACACGGTCCTGGCCGTTGACTGGAGCTGTTTTTCACCTTGGCCTTCGTTCGGACCCGGCCACAGCCTGGCTCGGTCTCCCTGGTAACAGGCCTCCTCTCCTGGCCTTCCCCGCACCTGGCCGCTGCTTGACCAGGCTCCCTCGTCAGCGGGCCTCCTGACGACCGGCGTTGGTCCCAATATTGCGCCTGGCTTTGCCCCCCGCCCTTGGGGATCTGGCTCCACGGCGCCGTCAATACCTGGCGTGGCGCCCCTTGCTGGGGCGGGGCGCAGCGTGCCACACGGCGCCGGCCGTTCACTGTAGCTGTTTTCGCCCTGGCCTTCGCTCGGGCCCGGCCACAGCCCCGCTTGGTATCCCTGGTGAACTGGCCTCCTCTTCGGGGCGTCACGTGACTCACGCTCGCCGCGCCGCGGGCACCTGGCCCGAGGTAATCTCAGCCTTCAGCTGCCTGCTGCGCCGCCCCCTGGCCATCGCTTGGACTTGGCCACAGCCTGGCTCGGTCTCCCTGGTGATCTGGCCTCCTTCGTGGCGTCGCGTGACTCACGCACGCCGCGCCGCGGGCACCTGGCCCGAGGTAATATCCGCCTTCAGCTGCCTGCTGCGCCGCCCCCATCTGTCCCCTGCGCCCGGTGGTTTTCTTGCTGGTTTCGTTGCGCCTGGTGAGGCACCCTGGCGTCCAGGTGACTTGCACGTCGGCCAGATCTGGTTTGAATGCTTGCGTGTTTCTGCCCTCTGGTCCTCAGACAACGCCACAGCCTGGCCGTGTTTGCAGCTGCCGCCTGCATGGTGGGACGCGCCCCATACGTGGATTGCTCGGGAGTGGTTCAGCCTTCTTATTCAACCATGTGAGGTTGTCTCTGTCGGCATGTAGCATTGGTTCGCTTCTACCTCTGGCGCCTGGTGCGACAAGGTTCGATTCGTCCTCTTCCCGGTGTTCTCGCCCCTCGGGTCTTTCCTGGTGGTCTCGCCTCAGGGATCCTGCACGCTGGTTGCCTGGCGTTTGGCTGCTTTCGCAGTCTGCCCCCAGCGCAAGGCGCCCCTCAGCCGCTGCCCTGGCTGCCCTGGCCTCAGCCCTCGGCGCAGCTCAGCCTCCCTCGGCGGTAGTTCAGCAGCCGCTTGTGCGCGCGCTTAGGGTAATTAGGTTTGCTCGTAGCCCGAGCTGACTTGCGACGCTGTCGGCGCGTTCGCCTGCGACTGCGACGAATAAAATCCCCACCAACCCATTCAAAAACCTTGCTCATGAGAGCTGATTGGAAAAGGGACAAAGGGATTCATATAGTGAAACAAAAAGGGCAACCAGGGTGAACAGAGAGATCTCTGGAGCAGGGATGGCCTTGGAGGTCCTCTTCGGGCCATCCCTGGGGCCCGCGTGGGGGCGAGGGAAGGAGGAGGAGGAGGAAGAAGAAGAAGAAGAAGAAGAAGACTACGATGACGACGACGACGACGACGACGACGACGACGACGACGACGACGGGGAGGAAGAGGAGGAAAATGGAAAGGAAGACGATGAGGGCAAGGACGAGGACAAGGAGGAGGAGGAAGAGGACAACGAATACACAAGGACAGAGCCTTCAAAATCGCCTCTTGGAGCCGACTTGGGGCTTTTCGGGCTCTTGGGGGGTGTCTTGGGGCCCTCTTAGGGCCCTCTTGGGGCTCCCTTGGATGGGCCACGCCAGTGGAACGCGGCAGACCAGCACGTCGAGGAGTTCAATGGCAAGACATGCCTGGAAGAAGCCAGGGTGCGTTTGGTGACATCGTGACAACGGC